AAATAACTGGACTGTTGCTCAGTGGTCCAAAGTCCTCTTTTCAGATAAAAGTAAACTTTGCATTTCATTTGGAAATCAAGGTCTGGAGGAAGACTGTAGAGACACAGAATCCAAGCTGCTTGAAGTCCAGTGTGAAGTTTCTGAAGTCAGTGATGATTTGGGGTGCCATGACATCTGCTGGTGTTGGTCCATTGTGTTTTATCAAGTCCAAAGTCAATGCAGTCGCCTAACAGGAAATTTTGGAGCACTTTATGCTTCCATCTGCTGACAAGCTTTATGGAGATGCTGATTTCTTTTCCAGCAGGACTTTAATACCTGCCCACAGTGCCAAAACCACTTCCAAGTGGTTTGCTGACCATGACATTACTGTGCTTGATTGGCCAGCCAACATGCCTGACCTGAACCCCATATGGAATCTATGGGATATTTCCAAGAGAAAGATGAGAAACAGTTGATTCAACAATACAGATGAGCCGAAGGCTCAATAGATCCTGGAGTTTCACTGATGCTGGAGTTTGTGCTAAAGAAGCCCTGACCAAGTCTTGAGTGCATAAATGAACATACTTTAAAGAACTTGAATTTTTCTGTTTTGTAAATCCTTTTTTTGATTGATCTTAGGAAATATTCTAATATTTTGAGATACTGGATTTTTGACTTTCATGAGCTGTAAGCTCTAATCATCAAAATTAACTATACATTTTACATTTACTTTACATGTAATGAATCTAGAATATATGAAAGTTTCACTTCTTGAAAAAAAATTTAAAAAAATGATATATATATATATGTGCAAAATGAAGGAACCACAAATTCTAAAAAAAAATCTGAAATTAAGTCTCTTAGACTGTGATCTGACCTGTGACAGAGGGGCTTGTCTCAATTATATTTAGGTTCAGAGAAAACGGAGTATAAAAACTGCTATCAAATCACTCAAAAGTCTGTCAGAAATCCCTGAAGCCATTTCTCTCAGTCTCTGTAGTTACTGCACTTTGCATTTGCAGGTCAGTGCGTGCATACAAGAATACGTCCAATGTAATAAATCAAACAAAATAGCACAACAATAGAGTATTGATCTCATGAGGTGAGCGGATGTATAAGGTGAGTAAATGTACAGGTACACATGTACAGCACAGTGATGCATTTCTCTTGTTACTAGTCTACAGTGTATTCTTTAATTTTGTTCAGTCCTCTTTCTATTACAACAGAAAACAGG